GCTCCTATTTTTAGAGGCAGCTGGACACCCGCCTCTACACATCGTTGATTTGTACAGGCGGAAAAGTAGATGCGCCAAATAAAATCTGTAGTAGTGTATTTCGCTTTCATAAAATGGAGGATCATAGCCACATATGCAAAGTGAAGTAGGTAACTGCTGTTGTCAAGGTTCATTTTGTCACAATATAAAGTTCTTATTTATCAATTTGATGTTATATATGGTATTATATTATGGCAACCTATAAATTACTCATGTGGGTATCGAGTATCGACAGCAATGGCCATTTATCCTAGCTTCGCCCCGCATGATGACGCCGACGAAAGACGAGGTCGGCGCCACGTTAAGCTCCAGCACGGACGCCGATGGCGCCATCAGAAGCAAGGCAAGAGACGTGGCTCGTGGAGCAGTCGAGCTTCCTCTCCACCTTACCGAGAAGATCCTTTGCTGCATCAACCCGCTCGCGTCGGCTCGCCTCGCCACCGTCTGCAAGTCCTGGGCGGCCACCATCTCTGAGCGGCTCGCACGGCCTGTTCCCCACCTGTTCGTGTACCTGCCGGCTGACAACAAGTCAGATCGTCGCGGCCGCGTCGTTTCCGTCCCGATAGGCTACGACGGGGACGACGTCGGCGGAGCGCCCCCCGTACCGGCGGTGATCCCGAACCGCGTGCTCTTGGCAGATACGAATGGCCTGGCGTGCATCGGCGCCATGCCCAGTGGTCATCTGGCCTTCGCAAGTTGGTGGAGCAAGATCTTGGTCCTGATCAACCCGATCACGGGCGCCCGGCAGAGCGTCCAAGTGGAGGAACCACGTCGGAGTCTAGTTCTGGCAGCCGGCGGCGGTGACTCCTTCATCTCCGTCGGCACCGATGAGCACATACTCTGGCGGCGGGCTGGCGGCGGCGATGAGTGGTCCAGGTGGACGGTACCGGCGGCGGCCGCGCACGGGATCGTCAACATCATATCGGCGGCCGTCTGTAGCGGCAGCTTCTACATACTGGACGACGGCGGGTACGTGTCCGTCATCGACGTCGCTGCACCACGGCCGCTTCGCATGGAGAAGCTCCCGGTGGCGAGCCTGTTTGACGGTGACCACGGCGTGGTCTCACCGGCGGTCCTCAACCCCGCCACGAAGGGCCACCTGCTCGAGTCCGACGGGGAGGTCCTCTTCGTCCGGCCAGTGATTGCGTTCAAGGACGAATTGTTCGGCGCCGGCGGCGGGACACCGTTCTGCAACCACGACGCTGCTGTGTTCCTCGCCGTCCTTGGCTTCGAGGTGTACCGGCTGGACTTGAAGGACAGACGCTGGGCAAAGGTGGAGAAGCTGCCAGGCGACCGGGCGATTTTCGTAAGCCCCGGATCGTCATTCGTGGTGCGCTCCTCGGAGACAGCGGGCTGCAGGAGCAACTGCATCTACTTCGTCGGCAACAAATGGTACTGCACCTTGTGCAACAGGGACGCCGGCAAAGCCTGGGGCGTGTACTCCATGGAAGATCGGGAGGTATTGTTTGAGCATGCTGTAACCGAGCCGGGGCCATGCTCGGCGGCGACGTTGTTCTTACCTCGTGTAGTCTAAGGGCTTCGATTATTTTGTCAGCAGCCGTCGCGCAATGGGGATGGGATCGCAGTGCCTCAATAGCCTGCTTGCATCCACAAACAGGGGCAAGGCCCATGTAATAGGCGTGCTGTAACTGATTAAATACGGGTGTGTGTTCACAGAAAAGGCATCCAATCTATAAACAAGAATATGATTTTATGTAAAAGGGTCTCTGAACAAGAGTCTCAGTAGCACACGAGCTATTGGGTCCGACTTCCTATGAGAACGAATATTTTAGGATTAAACGGCTTTATGTTTTCAGTGGTAGATGACGTTCTCGTTGACACTGTACCTGATGTCGTCAATCTCGTCTCGAGGATGTGCCAGCATAATCCTCGAATGTGCTCAGGTAGGGTTTACGTGCGTGCGTTCATAGGCATGAGTCTACGTGTATTGTGAGCGTCCATGTTGTACTGTATATTTTTTAAAAATATATATGATTTCCTAAATATTTCCTCTGTTCTCGGAAGCTTCCCATCCCCTCGGGGAAGATATCTAATATCTATTGCTAAAATATTTTGATGCCTTTTCTATTGTGAGCTATGGAAAGAAATCACAAAATTTTAGAATAGTTTGTTAACATATGGTATGATGTTGACTATCACACAACAAATTTAGAATTTAAAATATAATTTATACTCTCTCCATTCCAAATTATAAGTAACTTTGTCTTTTCTAGATTTATAGTTTTTACTCTACATGAAGACACATATTACATATCTAGGTGTATAGCAAAACCTATATATTTAAAAATATCAAAAAATTAAATGATCTATAATTTAGAATTGAAGGTGTATACGAGAAGAAATGAAGAGAATGAGTTCTTAGAGTTAGAAACTGCAGATACATTATGGGACACCCGTCACTCCTTTACCCCTAGACCTGCCTACTGAATTCGAAACTATGAGTTAATTGTCCATAATTTTTCATCAGCTTAATCTTTTCGATAGAGTCTTGGTGCATGCATCTTATTCTGGTTTAAAGAGCCAGATGTCTCTACTAAAATCATAGCGAGTGTAATTAAAGAAATGTAATCATAGCCGTTTCCTATTTTATGTTTAAAATCTGAGTTCACTTTTGGGTTGAACCAGTTGATGCAACATCACCCGTTCCTATACCCATTTGCCTAAGTAGCTTGGACAACATCAAGTGGAGGTAACCGTATCTACTGCCTTACATATTAGAAAGAGAAAATTATTCACTTGGCCCTCAAGAAAATGATGGTTAGTTTTTTTTTTGGGCCTTTTCTCTCTCGAACTTGCATACATGCTTATTTGGCCCTAAAACAAATTTTCTTTGGTTTCTTGACCCTTTTGTTAATTTTGGGCTAACGGTATTAAGTTGCATGCGAAATTATTGTTTTATCCCTGACATTGAAATCAACAGTTCAACAACCTATAGTTGCGCTATACAGTAATTTCACATGTGGTGCCAACTGCAGCAACGACGCGTACTGCGGGGGTGAGCCGAGCGGCGGGCGCCTGCTGCGCCTTCGGTGGCGGTTCGAGCGGATCCTGTTGCAGCCCCGGCGGCGAAGCCTGCGCAAACCCGCGCGTCCCCAGCGGCCCGAGAACCACCTCGCTTGAGCCCAGCAGCTGCCCGAGAACAGGAGTAGAGGTGCCCGGCCCCGGCGGCACTCGAAGGTCCACTCTTGGCATGGCCATGTTTTTGGAAGGGTGAGTTCCCATCCTCCTCATTGTGTAACTAACAACTTGGCAGAGTATTTTAACAATTAGATTAAGCAATATAGGTCCATGTATTTGGATGACTTTATGGATAAGATTAGACAATTGATTATGTTCAAGTGGAACTAAAGGAGAAAAGTGTCAAAGAACTTAGAAGGTTTGATTCTACCTCACATAATCAAAAGGTTGAATGAAAGGAGTAGAGAACTAGAGCTGAAAATGAACATGAGCCCATGAGCATTGGCTAGGGATGAAAACGGATCGGATATGGGCGGATATCACTGATATTACATTTGTTTTCGTATTTCTGTCCGGATTCGGATTCGAATACGAATAGTGCCAATTATGCCGGATAGGATACGATTGGATATCGACATTATAAATATGCGATTTGAGTATTCAGATATAGATACGATATCGGATATTGAATATCCAGACTCGGATACGGACTAAACGGATTCGGTCTCGAGTACGGTCGGAAATCGGACCGTTTTCATCCCTACCTACAGCAAGTGAGCACGCTAACTCAGCTGCAGCACATGCATCCAAACCGGCGATGGCAAAACCGAAGCTCAAGTCCAAACCAAAGGCAAAGGGGAAAACGAAGGAGAAGGTGCAAACCGTGGTCTCCTTAACTTGGACACTTGATGTATGTGTAATATTCCTCATGCTTTTCTATGTATTGTGTAGTATTCACCACTTTATGTAATATCCTTAACATGGACACTATGTATGTGCGAACTGTGGTTTGTGGTTTAAGTAAGCTGTATTTTCTAATGTATCCGAACATGGACTTAAAACATGACTTGGTTTAAGTATTCTGTACTTGATGCATGTGCCCATTAATTTCCATGTCGATTGGTGAACCTTATGCTTGAATCTATCGGTTTGTCAAGTGCAAGCTGCTGTTGTTGCAAAATATGGTGTGAAAATTTTTTACTGTTAAAAGTTGTTCTTTGTTGAAAAAAAAATTCTGTCCAAAACAGGTGCTGCTGTCCACATGGGTATCCTGCTGTCCAGAAAATATCACCGCAACTAAGTTGGTGTTATACAGATGAAACGAATAATGGTTTTTTCCACAGCTACTTAACAGCATTGGAGGATAGAACTAGTGCTAGATATAGGGGATAAAAAACGAACCCAGTACACTGGTCTTGTTTAGTTCCTCCTAAAAAATTTACACCTTATTTTATCTGATGTTTGATATATGTATAGAGTATTAAATATAAACTAAAAAAATAACTAATTGTATAGATTACGACTACTTTGCAATACGAATCTTTTAAGCCTAATTAGTCAATGATCTAATAATAAAGTGCTACAGTAACACATGTGCTAATGACGAGCTTAATTAAACTTAATAAATTCGTCTCACGGTTTATCGATAGATTTTGTAATTTATTTTTTTATTAGTATCAAACACCTCGTACAATCCTCCTATGTAACACGATGTGACAACGTAAAACTTTAATTTTCTCAAACATACCCGAACTTTGAAGAATCGACGGCCGATTCCATGTGCCGCCGCTGCGCCCGCCCTACTGGTTCCGGAGGGCGTCGGCCTCCTAAGGGGGGAAAAAAAAAAAAAAACGAGGCCAGCAGTAGCCCAAAACCACAAACATCCCAAGTCCCCAACAAGAAACCAGAGGAGAGAGAGGAGGCAGCTGGAGCCGGCCGCTCCAGCCTCCATCTGAGAGCCTCGAGAGGGAGGGGATCTCCGGATGGCGATGGGTGACGCGAAGCCGTCGGTGCTAATCCCGATGCCCAGCCGCGACCGCGACCGCGACCGCGACCGTGACCGGGACCGGGACCTGCTCGTGCCGACCGCCGCCGTCGCCACCCATGCGTCCCCGTCCGCCCGCACCGTCACCGGCTCCGACGACGACGAGAGCAAGCCCTCCTCTGCCTCCGCCGCCGCCGCCGCCGCGCAGACCGGCCGCGAGGTCGCCGCCCTTTCCTCTCCCCCTCCTCCCACTTCCGCCTCGCCTCGCATGGCGGTGGCTTCTCGAGTCAGATTTGGTCTGCCCGAGAAATGTCAATGCGCGAATTGCTGTGGGATGTGAAATGTAGCTGATTTTTTTTTTGTTCTTCTTGTTTCAGGCATTCCATAAGGTTGTGCATAGCTGGGCGTCAAAGAAGTTCATGACCGGATGGTATGTATACTCCTTGGATTCTGAATCTCTAATCCTCGATTCGTAGTATCGGGATGGAACTCACATTTTGTAGGGATTTTATTTGTGCGACGCTGAATCCAATAAATCTTTTGCCGCTGTAGCTGTATACTATGAAAAGATGGGATTTTTAAGTTTTGGTATTTCGTTTGTAGGGCTAAAATACCATTGAAACATGAAAAATGCAGCAGGTTTTGTGGTTTTGCTGTTGGGTTTATACCCTAAGATTGAATATGGATGCATTCTGAAGCTGTTTGTTCTGGGATTTTTAAGTTTTGGTATTTCGTTTGTAGGGCTAAAATACCATTGAAACATGAAAAATGCAGCAGGTTTTGTGGTTTTGCTGTTGGGTTTATACCCTAAGATTGAATATGGATGCATTCTGAAGCTGTTTGTTCTGTACATTGTATAATGTCAATGCAGTTTTGTGCTGTCAGTTTATTGCTATTGAAATTCTTGTATAAATTGTAAACGGAGTATAGACTGCACCTGAAATTGCAAGGGAATTGGTCATTTACTACAAGCTTTTGCTTCAAAGTACCAAAGCTCATTTTCCCATTCTTTCACTTTGTCAATTTTAAGCAAAAGCTTACAGTCTAGTAAATTTTTTGATTGGTTCTGTCATGGGTTTCACAAATGTTTTATATGTGGACACTGGTTTAAAGTATTTTTTTGAATCTTATATATGCCACCAGACATTAAAACACTAGCTGTAATTGTTTACCTTCTCTGTTGCCCTCATATTATGTGTACTGTCCTAGCAGAACTTCTAGCTATGTTTTCCAATAATTTTGCTGAATAATATTGTCAGAATAACCTTCTGCTGGGTACAAATGGAGCAATGTGAATATTATATTATCCTTGACTGCTTTCGAAGTGTTTGATGTTGGAAAACAGTAGAAATGAGAGTTAATACCACTAGAGTGGTTCTTAGTACCAGTATGTTGATGCTGGCCATAAATGACATGCATAAATTGAATAAGATACAGAATGTAGCACCAGAAGATATTAGTTAAACACGGAATGAACTATAATTTTCTGCATTTAGATCGAAAAAGTTATGGATAAGTTTTTTTAAAAGATGAATTTAGAATTGTCTCACTGTATCTTCATTTATTTTCTCCATATCTCTCACAATAACGTTTCAATTCCACTTTCTACATTTCTTTTTCAGTTTCATCCTTATCTATCTTGTTATTAATGATGTCATGATGTGGTCACAAAGCATAAGCTTAACATGAATACATTTCATCATAAGTTGGCTATGCAAATGAATATTTAGGAAAGAAGCGACTTTTTGAGTCTGTCTACTTTATTTGTTTTGGCCTGACATATGCTTTGTGCCTTTGGCAACATGATTTAAGCAAAATGTGTATTATTTCTAATGTTAAAAAGCAGTGCTATAAAATTTATTTAGCATTAAACCTAGGTGAACGTGGGCTAGAATAGTACATTATACTGAGTTCACTTTTTATTTGCAAGGCTTCTGTTCATCTAGATGGGGTCAGCCATGGTAGCATAAAGTCTGATTTCTCTATTTGTGTCAGGGAAGGATCAGCATAGAATGAAATTTGAGATGAACCAATGTTCTGATCATATTCTCTTCACTATAGTTTGGCATATTCACAAGCTATTGTACTGTCGAGTGCTTAAGTAAAAAAACTTAAGATTAGTGTAAGGTACATTCTTTTCAGGATATTCCTTTATCACTCTACTGATGTGGTTTCCCTAATTTTCTTGCAGTGTCATCCTCTTCCCAATTGCAGTTACATTCTATGTGACATGGTGGTTCTTTCGCTTTGTGGATGGTTTTTTCTCCCCAATATATGCTCACTTGGGAATCAAAATATTTGGTATGTATGAGATGCAGAGTGATTGTTGCTGCAGTTTACAAACTTTCTAGAATACTTACCAGAACTCTGAGTTGTACATATGGTGAGATGCAATTTTTATGGAAAACTAATAATGTTTATTTATGTAGCTCACTATTAGCAAAAGTATGCTTCAGTCTAGATTACTATTTACCTTTGTCTATTTTATATCTTAATGGTCATTAGACTTACTGCAGAATCTTAATTCATAGTATAAGAGTGATGTGCACCTATTGGGGTGTTTGGTTTCCAGGCGTGCTTTGCCTTGCCTTTCCAGTTTGGGCGAGGCAAACCTTGCCAAGATAGGAGAGCGGAATTGGCTCCCTCACAGCAGCAAGGCAGAAGCTTGCCACTGCAGCCTACAAGGTGTGCTTGCCAGCAATCCAAACACATATTTAGCTGCAAATCCTCGCTGGGCAAGGCGAGGCAAGCTTTGCCAGAGGATCCAAACTGCTGCATTATCATTGACATCGTGGGCAACCTTTGAGACCTAGCCATCTAAGTGCATTTCCATGTATCTGTAAAATGTAGCAACAAATGGAGTTTGGAAACACAGCATGGTCTATTTAGCTGTTTGTTTTGCAATGTCAGTTCATGAAATCGTTAATGTTTATGTCACCCCATGACCATGAGCCTGCCTTGTCCTCTGCCCATAGATTTGTGCACTGTTGTGCAAGTGCATGCGAGACATTAGAATGGCTGTTTTTAATCTAGTGATGGATTCAAGCTTTTCCTTCAACTTGGTTCCTAAACTCCATCCTCTTAGTTTACTATCAGTGCCCTGTTTTAATGCCTCATCATTTATCAAATTTGGCCAAGTATATTTTCCCAAATTCATAGCTCAGTTGCATTGTATACTAAGCAAACTAATTCTCTTTTTTAGCTTGTTCATGGAATCCTCTCTTCTTTGATGTTCTTTCTACATTGAGTAGCTTTATATGGAAATCTCTAGAATCATCTTCGAATTTTCACTAAATTTTTAAATTTAATGTCTTTTTTTTGTTTACCTTCTTGCAGGACTTGGCTTTGTAACATCGATATCTTTCATTTTTGTGGTTGGTGTATTCATGTCATCTTGGCTGGGGGCATCTATCCTTGGTCTCGGAGAGTGGTTCATAAAACGAATGCCATTTGTTCGCCATATTTATGATGCATCTAAGCAAATCAGTGCTGCCATTTCACCTGGTTAGATTCATTGCCATTTTATGATTCTAAAAATCATAATTCAAATGTGTGTAAGCAAATCACAGCTTCATGCAGATCAAAACAAGCATGCATTCAAGGAAGTGGTCATCATTAGGCACCCAAGAATTGGCGAATATGCATTTGGATTTATCACTTCAGAAGTTCTACTTCAGGTTTGTATGCTTTTACTATTTAATCTGGTCGATTAACCATTATCATAGTATCATGATTGTTTTTCATTCATTTTATCTGTGTAACCACTCAGTTTTTTCTCACTGTTCTTGATGTTGTTGACATATTGTTTAAAATAATGCTTCTGAAAAATATGCTTCAGCCATTTTCATCCATATATAAGTTCCTGCTCCCTGCAGTTTTTTTGTTCATTTTACGTTATCCCTGTTAAACAAGCTAAGCAAATCATGAATCTGCTGAACCAGTCACTATTATAATTAACACAGACTGAGAAAGTCCGGCTGTTGGTGTGAGCAATACAACTACAAGCTTTGACTTTCTGAAAATTCATCTTGATTTGTTAATTGTACCTAATGTGTTGTCATAATGTGGAACAACAGATTTTTCCTAGGAACATATCTTAGAAGTAACAGGACTTTGTGCAATTGTCATATGCTTTGTGAGTTGAAAACATTCAGTGTCCTAAGTAAAAAGAATCTCTGACCAAAAATGTAGATTCGGTTCATGCGTTTGGTTCCTGAAATTGTGCATATGCATTAGCTAGTTTAATGTGGATGTAATATTGTATATGGATATACCCCTTTTTATGCACAGCTTAGATAAAAGTTTACATGGTTAATTGCATTCATCTGGACTGTAAGCTCGTGTAAAAACTATTGCTGATGTATTAGTCTTTTTTAACTCAGGGTTATTCTAGTGAAGAACAGATGTACTGTGTTTATGTTCCGACCAACCATCTCTATATTGGTGACATATTTCTGGTCAGCTCAAGTGACGTGATTAGACCGAACATGTCTGTTCGCGAAGGCATTGGTATGCCCATCTCAGTTCTTTTCCTCTTTTTTCCCCGTCATATTTATATATTCAGATAAGTATGCTTTGAATTGCTTTGATATTAAACATCATCTTATTGCAGAAATTGTTGTCTCTGTGGGCACGACGATGCCTCAAGTGCTATCGATTCTGGAAACTGAGCCAAACCACTTGAACAGGATCAGATCCACCCGAAGCTGAGATGACTTACATTTTGTGATTTCGTGTTCCAGAGTCCTTGTTTGTGTAAGTACAGGAGTAGGTTCTGACAGATTGTACAGTTCTGGGCGTGGAAGCAAAATCTGTTTGTGGGCACATCTCACCTGAACGTACGCCATTGCTTGTATGGCAGTCTCAGCTTCTTCAGAAATGTAACTTAGCAGTTGAAGTAGAGTTGACCTATGTTTGAGAGGTGCTCTCCGCGCTTGCCACGCGGTTAGAGTTGACCTATGTTGAGTTCTCAAGTTTTGCGGTGGAAGAATTTTTCATACCCCATTGGTTCATGCGTGTCTCCGAGTCTTGTGAGGCCTGTTTGAGTGGGAGGGAATCACTTTTTTTACAGTCTGGTTCAAACTTGATCTGAATCCCAACAAGTACGATCGTGTAAAAGGCCTCCAGCAGTTTCCGCTCTTAGCATGCTGCCTCCAGCAGTTTCCGTTCGTTTGTCAAAGATAGCATGCTGCCTATTCCTTCAATTTTTATTATAACAAGAGAATGAATGGTACATACAAAAGGAGTCAGTTGCATGCAGCTGCACTGTTGAAAAATCAGAATTTTGATTCATATCCCCATGATTGGTTGGTATTTGTGATTTGCATGAAATTTGTGGCAGCAATTGTTTGATATCCGTCTCAATATCTATGAAAATGGCTCCGTTAGAACCGAGAAAAGATAGCTCCTAATGCTAAATTCAGTATTTAACATCGATATCTGTTAGATACATTGAGGTAACGTAACAACGGTATAAGGCTAGGGCTGGACAAAATACTTGTGGCCGACTCTGCTTGGCTCGTTTTAATTTTTTTCACGAGTTTAGGTGAAAGTCTAGCTCGCTATTTTAACGAGCCAGTCCACGAGCTGAAGACTATCAGCCCATACCATAAATCTAAAAGATGATGATGTTGACCTAGAAGTATACACCTATTCTATTGGTACGTAATCCTTATTTTCAGTTGTTTTATATGAATTTTAATTTTATAATTATTGTGGTACTTAAATGTTGATTTTATGGATGTTTTTCTAGAAAGAAGATGATGCTGACATTGAATCTGTGGACTTTTCTAAGTTTGTGGTGGCAAGCAACTAGTTAGTATGCTGGAACTGCATGATCATGGATGGACCAACTATGTTGCATGGTTGATACTTTTGATGAACCTGATATGTATTAATCATGTATGGTTGCATAATGGTGGACGTCACCTTCTAAAATTAATGTAGCATAAACATTATAAACATGTGTGTCCTATTTTTTTAAGTAGCTCGTAAGCTAAACGAGCCAGCTCCAGCTCGGGAATGAGCCGAGCTGAGTTACCCCTCTAGCTCGTAATATTAACGAGCCGAACCGAGCTGGCTCGTTAACCTAACGAGACAGCTCGAGATGGACCGAACCGAGTCGAGCTGGCTCGATATCCAGCCCTATCTACGGCGACCTTCAATTGTTGGGAACATGATTCATTATCCCTCTCAGCATAATTTTTTGAGAACGCCGTGTGCAAGATATCTCTGGAGGCTTATATAAGTCTAGGCCATTTGGATCTTTTTATTTTAGGGGAATCGAAATTTACTTAATAGATTAGGCTATTTATTTGAAATTTGATATTCTAAGTTCACATATAAGATTATTTTAAATTCATAGGATGGAAGATGGAAATTGATTCTAATCACTATTTTATGTTTCTCCTTTGCAACTTATAACACAGTCTTCAACTCGCTCTCCTAAGGTATAAATACAACGTATAAGTATCTCTCGTATGGCCTACAATAATATACAAATATATTTCATATACAATCATATTAGCTTAATTAATATGTGTATAAATTATAATTATTAAAATGAATTCAATTCCAAATATCTAAATGGGTAGCAATTAAAGCACCAGTAAATATGACGTAGTTGCTTATATAAGTCTAGGCCGACATGCAACACATCTCTGGTCTCTCTGGAGGCTTATATAAGTCTAAGAGCATTGCAGCAGACTTGTTGAAGATATAAAATTTGAGGACATATTTATATACACCATATTATACAATATAAATAAAATGAATGAGAGGTCCAAGCCATATATATAGAGCCTGTTTGGTTGAACTGTAGCTTTTAGAAAAGCTGCTGTGAGCTGTAGCTGTTGGAAAAGCAACTGTGAGATATGAGCTGTGGACAAAGCCAAAAGCCGTTTGGTTGAGCAGCCGTAGCTTTTTGGAAAAGCAGCTGTTAGCAGGTCCCACGTCTTAGCCGACCCCACTTGTCACTCACCCAACACATTTTTCTCATGTTTTTTCTATACGCGTCTTCTTCTGTCAATGAGCACGGGGAACAGGAGGCCGGTGAGGGGCGGTGCTCCCGCGAGCCCGCAGAGCCTGGGACGGGGCCGCAACTCGCGTCCGCCAGTGCCGAGGGTGGGGCCGCGCCTGCGCCGCCGCAGCTGGGGACGGGACGGAGCCATGCCAGCATCCGCCGGTACCAGGGACGGGACAGGGCTGCGCCAGCGCCTGCCGGTGCTGGGGACGGGTCTGCGCCCGCGACCGCCGGTGCCAGGGATGGGGCCGCGCTCAGATCCAAGCACCAGGAGGGAGAGAAACGGACGGAGATGGCCTGGCCGCGCTGAGCTTGAGCTCGGGTGGCAATGGTGGTACGGCGGCGAAAACCGGCCCGAGGGGCCTCAACCCTAGATGAGCGACGACGAAAACCGGTGGGGAGGAAGGAGGGAGTCAAGGCGGAGCTGTGTGCGCGGCGAATCGGGCGAAGGCGGTTTGGTGGTGGCGAATTTGGTCGGCGGAGCTCGTGCGGGAGGCAATGTCGTGCGCGCCTGGGAGATGGCAGAGAGGGAGAGTGAGCAAGTGGGAGAGAGAGATGCGCCGATGGCCGAGCCTGCTTGCGGAGGAGAGGGGCGCCGCCGGAGGGGAGATGCGCCGCCGGCCCGAGCCTGCTTGCGGAGGAGCGGCGCTCTTTCTTTCAAGCGGAAGAAGACGAGTCACGAGCAAATCGAACCGGTACGCACATAATGGATGGCATTGCGGGTATTTTTTCACCCCCACGGCCGGTGGAAGCAGTTCTCCCCTTGCTTTAGAAAATGAACTACGTGAAAGCTGGCTTTTGCAAAAGCTGTAGATCTACCATAGGGCCTTTGGTTGGCTTTTGGGCTTTTGGGAGCAAAAGTTACATCAAAAGCCAAACCAAACACCCACACAGCCGTCGCTCTGATGAATAGGCAGTATATACAAGTAATAGAAATACATAGCGTGTACAGCACAAGCTACTCCATTATTCACGCATTTTGACCAGCATCTTCAAATCAAACTCCTGTGACTAGTGATGAGTCACCGGAAAAAATAATCATGGATGATGGAGCTTTCATCATCACTTGAACTGCAACTTGGATGCAAATGTTTGGCCAAACTTCCATCCTTGTGGCACCACATCTGTGAATTCAATAGTTTGTCCGTCCGTGTCGGTGACCCTAAACGAGAGCATCTGCCCTGTGAGATAGGCCAGAGAGTGCCAGTTTGCGCCCCAGTTGCGTGCTAATGGAGACCAGTTATTCGAACTGGAGGTCTTGACTTCCATAGACTTGATGGAGCCGGCAGCCGCAACGTTGGTCACAAGCACAAGATTGAAGTAGTCATGCCCATTGATCGTGAACCTGACTCCACCTCGCTTCACGCAAGGAACTCTACAAGCAAGAATTTAGTTGTAGTATTAGGATATCGCACTGCATGCATCCCAAATTCCCATCAAGTTTTTGTTTTTTTGATGATAGATCGAAGCCAGCTAGGAAGATGTAGTAGGGAATTAAATAAAAATACCTCTTGTACATGACGGGGATGATGCCTCCGCCGTAGACTCCAATCTTCTCCCACGCCGGCTGCGCCATGTCGAAGTGCGGGCGCTGCTGATTGCACCAGCCGCCGTCGGGCAGCGCCGAGTTGGGCGGGCAGAAATTGGTGGCGGTGACGGTGACTGTGACGCCGGGTTTGCAGAACCTCGGGTCGGCTCTCTTGCGATCGCACGCGATCTTGTAGCACTGCCCGCACGAGGCGCCGTCGTTGAAGAGCACCGTGCTGAGCGCCGCCGTCCGCGTGCCGTAGCCCTGGGAGTAGAGGTTGCCGTACCCGCACGCGCCGCCTGCCACCATACACATATATCAGACGATGACAGATGTGCATCATGTTCATGGCATATATATAGGAAAGCTATCCCATGCATGGTTCTTGAGCGGCCGGCTAGCTAGCTTACCCATGGTGTCGGAGGCATCAGCGCCTCCGTAGAAGGTGGCATGCGCCTTCAGCCACCCGGTTGGTGCCGGAGACGACGACGTGGTGCTTGTGGGGACGGCGTCATTAGCGGCCATGGCCGACGCCCAACCGGCAGCTGCCAGCAGCAAGAGTATGAAAACTCGAGCTGGAGCCATACCTCTAAGAACCGTAGGAGAACTGGAGAAGAAGCAGGAGACTATATGTACGTAGCTCAGAAAGCAGGAGAAGCAGATGGATCGAGTTGCCTGAATAATTTTGTGGTGTGTGTATGTATGCGTAATTGGGTATGGATATAGAGTTTGTTTTGATGATGATGATGATGGTGCGATGATTGGTCTTGTATATATACACAACCATTACCCTTCGTAGTCACGGTTGATTGGCGGCTCTTGGGATTATATTGGCTAAACTTATTAAGGGCCGGGGTGCCGATCGAACGAAGCAAGCCTGGTAAGGGCGTAACGCTAGCGTGCACATGCATGTCTATGGCTATATATGACGAAGCCCCATCATGCATGGCTTAAGGTGCAATCCACAAGAGAGAGACGCACGCCGCCGCAGATGCGCGTTATGGACATTTGTATATATACTTATTATAACCACTGCAGACGCGCGCACGGCGGCGCGGGTGTGAAATGGAGTATAACGAGCGGTTTCCTCTTCTCTAAGACAGGATGTCATTTGTTTCGTCGGAGACACGAGTGATGATCTGCACCTGCACCGCAATCAAACCAAGGCCTGATTGGACGATGCTGTCGCCGCGCCGCGCCGGCAGCCATGCCTAAGCTGTGGCAGATATCGACGTTTCGTCCGCCGAACCTTTGTCACGCTAATAAGGGATAGACTCGTCAAACTACGTTCATACTCTATCAAGAAAAAAGTCAATACTACCTCCTATTCTAAAACTTTGTCAATATAAACCCTAAACAGAATTTATATGTAGTTCTCCCACTGATTTTGTAAACCAGTGCACCATTCACTTTACAGTAATGCTCTCCTCAGGTAGTCCAACCGTCCCGATGCCGCGCTTCCCAGTCCGCGCCGCTCGCTCCTTCTCGTCGCGTGCCCCACCCACAACGCTCGTTCCCGTCCGCGCCCGCGACGCTTGCCCCTGCTGACGACGCCCAATCCCCTTCCTCTGCGGCCTTTCTCCAGCAGAGGGGCGCGGCGCTGTGGGCACGGCACCCACTCGCCTGCCGCGGCCTTCTCCAGCGCGGGGTCGCTCGCCGCGGGCACTGCACCCTGCCCACCCGCTGCACCCCCACTCCGCGCAGGCGTCGATCTCCATGCCGGCATCTAGCTCTGCGAGCCAACGAGCCTCCATTCATCCAAGCAGCAAGGTGACATTGTGCTGAATTCTTATGTTGTAAGTGTATGTTTCAAGTGTTGTATATGTTTCAGAGGTATGTTACAAGTGTTTTATATCGATGTTGCAAAAGTAGATCAGGATGTTGCACATGTTACAATGGCTACACACATATGTTTCAAGTGCATATTCCAAATGTTTTATCTGTTTTAGACTTATATTGCAAGTGTTTTATTTGGATGTTGCAAAAGTAGATTTTGATATTCCATATAATGCAAGTGTTTCAGATGTTTTCATATGTACGTTGCAAGTGCTTCATTTGGATGTTTGCATATGTTTGCATGGCCACACACATCTTTTCAAGTTTTTCCTGGTGTTTTGCAAGTGTTTCAAACGTATGTTGGAAGTGTTTCAGCTGTTCTGGACGTATGTTGCTAGTGTTTCATATGAATGTTGCAAAAGTAGATCGGGTGTTGCACATGTTGCAATAGGACCCACCTGCAGAAGCCACCTGCAGCAGCTGCTGGAGGTGCCACCGTGGGTCACCGTGCGGGTGAGGGCAGGTGACTAGGATCCACGGGTTCCTGCGTGCTAGCGCAGTGGTCAGGCGAAATAGCAGCATGGGGTCCATGCGGTGGGGCGTGCGAAAAACAGGCGGTGAAGGCTTTCCCGTGTGGCACGGCCTCCCGCATGAAGGACCGGAGGCGTCTAATATTTTGGACAGCTCCAGACATCCGGGCGCTAATAATAACGCCCTTCACTTTAACCCCTAATATAATCAAAATATGATTTACTTAGGTTGGGGGTAATTTTGTCTCTAATCATAACACATGACATCTGACATGCACACGGTGGGGTACCTAGGATTTTTGTAATGAGTATGCCTCACAAGAAAAATGATATATGATTTGGTAAAATCCATTTAACAATTTAGTCAATAAAATTTCCCAAATCGATTACATATAGGTCAAACACCACTTTAATAGTTCGAAATATGCACAAAATTGTTACACTTCTGCTACTCCCACATCTATAATGTACAAAGACATGTATACACATGTCTTATCATCAGCAAGTCTTCTCAATCAATTGCTTAAATCTGCTCTAGAAAACAATGGAAGGATCTAGGATTGCTTGAGGAACGGGTGAATAGTCTATTTAAAAATCTTCAAGCACAATAAAGTTAGGAATCTTGTTAGTATAAGAGGTGACCCTTACAGCAACTACAAGCCTAGCCTAAGCACTCAAAGCAAGCCTTTCTTACACAATTCTAATAGTAGGACAAGCTAGAAGCTATAGCATTCAACCTACTCGAAGCTAGATACTCAACTAATCGAAGCTACACAAGAATAGCTACTCAAATTACACTAAGCAACTAGTCGAACTACTTTACCAACTACATGAGCACAACATCAACAATAAGAAAGAGCTAGTGTAGTAGAGGGCAAACCAACAGGACAAGTGATACAACGAATTTTCATCCGAGGTTAGTAGGTTGCTTACCGTCAACCTACATCCCTTTTAAGGTGAGTCCTTGAATATCACTCCGCAAGCAATGAAAGCCCTCAAGCTTGATCCTCAACGTGGGTGCTCACAAGGAGTTGACCAAACAAGGCACTCCATGTAGCCTCGTTATATTCACTAGAGTTGCTCTTCGGGATCCCCACAAGGATGGGCACAAATCCTCTTACAATCACTTGACCGGAGGCACGCACAATCACCAAGCAGTGCTCAATGATCCTCCACAGCTCCAAGCCATCTGGCAACCACCAAGAGTAACAAGAAATCTACTATAACACGATGAATTAGTGCAACTAGATGTAGTTAGCTAAACAAATATAGTAGATCTCTCTCCAATCTCACTCTAGATCAATCTCAAGTCAAGCAAGTGAGTGGAGGTGTGTTCTTGAGCACTAGGGGAGTTTGTGAGAGCAAGCCAACAAAATCCAAATAAGCAAGATCTTTTTAAAAAATTATCAAATGAAAACATCAGTTTTTAATAACACTGAATCTTTTAACATAATCAAGGACGGACTCGTCATGCCCTTCCTTAACCAATATCAAATTGGACAATTTAACCTCACTAGTTCCATTGTAAAAATGTTCTTGGAACTTTTCTTCTAGTTGTGCCCAAGAACCAATAGGTAAGATTGAAATGAAGAATACAACGGAAGCAGTACCAGTAAGAGATAACGGAAAGTTATAAATTCTCATGTGTTCCATGGTACTAGCTTCACCCAATTGAGCAATAAACATGCTAATAATATGCTCCTTTGTGGTTTTATTATCTTCACCTCTCAAAGTCGGACTCTTTTCAACCATCGAGAGCTTCATATAATCGAAATATAAAGGATATGGCTTAGCGTTCTCAGTTTCTTTAAAGTGCACACTCAGACTTTTCTCCAAATCTTTATACAAATTCTCTTTAAATTGGCTTAAAGCTTCGTTCCATGGGGTTGGATTGCCGATTTGTGAAATACTTGCATCATCATTAGCTTGCTGGCTCCGGAACGGTGGTATAGGAGGATTTGGCAACACCGTATTATGATCAAAAGAGGTATACAGTGCTGCTAAATTGCTATAGGCTCATGTAGCATAAATCGACAGCTGCGCTAAGATAGCCATGGTAAAGTAGTACCAACCTCCCTAGCCCTTAAATTAGCACTATCAGTTTCAATCAATGAATAGCACAATTTGGGCTGGTTTGTCGATGCATAAATTGTCTGGCCCTCAAAACAGCCGAACAATGTCCCATATTAAGGTTGGCTAGCAGCCAGGGCCGATCCTCTAACAGATGCATCTTGAGGAAAAAACAAGAATTTCATATTTCTTCTCCTCCCTTTTATCAAACCTAGCCATGAACTTGCTAAATATTGTCATGCATATTAATCTCAATAAGCTTAGCTTGGCTAGTAATCATCGTAGCACATTCATCTTGTGTCACACCAGATCTAGGGGAGGTTGACCTGTTTGCCTTAGATATTGATGTAGTAGGAAGAGGATTGAAGTTGACATCTTGGCTCTTCTTGATAACTCCTTGCATATCCACATCGAAGCATGCTAGGGCACACTCCAGATCGGTAGTAGCTCGGGCCTTTGCTCTATCCTCCAGCATCTTGCAAATCTACTTAGGAAGGTGATCAACCAAAGGGCTTGATGATATTACCTAGTTCTTTGGATCTGTAGGATCACCCTTCTTGTCGTCAGCCATCTTACTAGATCTGATTGCTTCTTTTTTAGCGGAGTCGCCAAAAAGTGTGTTGATACCGATTCGGGTCACACGCAGGTAGGGCCCATATCGCCGGAGGCCGCACATGACCTAGATACGTGTCTAACAACAAGGCCCACCAGCAGGTCGACGAGGCTGATTTGACACTTGTTCTTTGCATGAAAACCTACGAATGCCTCTTGGGAAGAACCATCAAAGAGACACAAAGTGGGGTTTCCCTAGGATCACCAAGGCCACATAGAACACTGACAAATCTCGTTGAGAGACGTGCTGGACAGAGAGGGGGTTGAGAAAAGATTATGGTAGAAGGTAAAAGTAAAGCTAGATTGATTTTTGTTGACTGAATAGATTGAAGGATCTCTCAATCGGATGCGATCCTCTCAAACAAATAGAGAATAGAGAGGGTGGTCTTATCCTACTAGGAAACTTATTCCATATGAAATCTATAAGTTTCCCACGAGTTTGAATGAGTTTCCAAAGGAAAATACGAAATTGGGCTCGGATTAACAAAACCTAGGCCGGTTTTGAATTTGGTCTGGGCCGGTTTGTACAGGACATGGCAGCGGAGTCTACCAAAACTGGCCTAGATCGATTTTAGAAACCGACCTGAGCCGGTTTGCCAAATGGCCTAGGGCAGTTTATCCATAAAGTTTGCAATTTTGCCCAAATTGCCCTAAATTTGATCCTTTTTGTTCCTTTTCTTGTTTACACATGTTTTTCAATCCATCTTCAACTCTTCGATCCCTTTTTGCATGTCAACACCCATAAGAGGCACTGTAAATTGGAGCCCAACCCATTAAATCCAACACCAAGGCGTCACACACACTTAACCCTAACTGGACTCCCACCTTTCTCTCTCTACCTCCCTCATTTGCATGTGCGGTCGCCTCCCACCTCTCCCCTGTCCCCTCGATCCTCCAATTGCCAGTGCCGGCTCCATCGCCACGTCGTCCGCCCGCTCATGTCCACCCCACCATAGCCACCACACCCGTCCCACCCCTATGGCCACCCCTTCCTCTTCCACACTAGCGGTGTACCCATTCTCTCACCACCTTGGTGGTGGCACAATAGATCTAGCATACAGTGAGGCAGATGCAACCGAATCGAGTCGATCCATGCTGCTATACATCATGAACGACTCCTCGTCTCCTCCAATGCTGCCATCCCTTGTCTCCTCTCTTTCTTACTACCTCTTCCTCTCATCACAGGGCAACAATGACTGTGTCTCTGGCATGTGCTCAAACTCGCACAACGGCGACAGCTCCACCCACGTCTACTACTTGTGCATAGGCCACCTCCTATCCTGCACCATTATGGGCTTCCTCCCACCGATGCAATCTGCCCGTGCACGAGATGCTACACACGGATCCGGCCATCCAGACCCGGGATCCGACTACTGCGGCGTGGACGGGGAGCTAGCTACGACAGCGCAGCATGGGAGCTACCGTGGCAATTGTCATGGCAGGTTCGCCCGGTTCAGCAAGCTCATCAGCTTGTCTTTTTCTGTGATTCATTTCCAAAGGCGGGCTGTGAAAATTCTTGATTAAGTCAGACCACATGTGGGAGGTGAAGGTGCCTCTAAAAAGTTGTTTCACTCATCTTTAAACATACATTTCATTGATAAGAAGGTTTTGGTTGCTAAGAATCAAGGGAGAGGAAGTGAGAGAGAAGCACGAACGAGAGAGAAACAATCAAGATAAGGATGCTCTGGCCGGAAGAGACAATGTGGGTCCCATGCACATGCAAGTGGAACTGCGAAACGTATTCAAACTAAGCAGGTAGGCTAAAGTTTTGGACCACACGCGGTCTTTTTTCACGCATCTTTAGGAGCGGATGTAACCTAACCATCTTTAAAAATCATATTTTAAAAGCGGTTGCGTTAATGCAACCATTTCTAAAATAGATATGTTTTTAGAGACGGTTTTCTTACAGATTTTCAGAGGCGGTTCATGACCTACATTGCTCTCTATCATAGTTAGAAGCGGTTTCTTATGTTGTCCGCCTCTAATAGAAATGGGAGGCGTCTCAAAAATCGTTTCTGTACTAGTGATGGTTCCTTTACATTAGTGCAGCAGAATAGATAGCTTGACAGGATGAACAAACATCTTTGTGTGAACAACATAAATTTAAATTAAACAAGAATATACACAATTCGAAACAATAATATGTACAAGCCATAGCTGCTAAGAATCGGCATCTATATATACAGGTAATAATGCACATAGTGTACAACTCCATGCGTGCATTTTGACCGTCTTCAAATCATACTCCGACAAGACCATCTTCAAACCACATCCTGAAATTCTACTCCCGCAGGTCATGAGTCACAGGAAATCCTGCACGGACCTCTCATCAGTCTCACTTGAACTGTAACTTGGATGCAAATGTTTGGCCAAACTTCCATCCTTGTGGCACCACGTTTGTGAATTCAATAGTTTGTCCATCTGTGTCAGTCACTCTAAACGAGAGCATCTGCCCAGTAAGATATGCAAGGGACTGCGAGTTCGCACCCCAGTTTCGCGCCATTGGTATCCAGCTACTGGAGTTGGAGGTCTTGACATCAATTGACTTGATGGAGCCGGCACCTGCAACATTGGTCACGAGCACGAGATTGAAGTAGTCGTGACCGTTGATCGTGAACCGCACCCCACCACGCTTCACGCAAAGAACCCTGCAAAGCACGCATTTTTACTTAAGATAACATACTGCAGCATGCATCATGTTTTTGTTAGAAGAGTAGAGACTAGCGAAGATCCATGAATATGATATTATACACTTAGGCCTTGTTCGGTTAGCCTGGATTGCCCAATCATTCCAGCTGATGAAAGGTTATATGAATTAGGCAAGCAATCTAGCCAGGAATAGTTTCAGAGAGCGGTTCCTGGTAACCGGTAACCGAACAGGGCCTTAATCGGCAAAACTCATTAAATAAACCTTTTGTACATGACGGGGATGATGCCGCCGCTGTAGACGCCGATCTTCTCCCAGGCCGGCTGCGCCATGTCGAAGTGCGGCCGAGGAGGATTGCACCAGCCGCCGTTGTTGCCGGGCAGCGCGTAGTTTGGCGGGCAGAAGTTGGTGGCCGTGACGGTCACCGTGACGCCAGGTTTGCAAAACATCGGGTTCGCCCTCTTGCGGTCACACGCGATCTTGTAGCACTGCCCGCACGAGGCACCACCGTTGAAGAGCGCAGTGCTCAGCGCCGCCGTTCTTGTGCCATAGCCCTGCGAGTACAGGTTCCCGTACCCACACGCACCTCCTGCGACACATAAGGATGTACGGACATCGAGCAGGTTATACAGTTTTCTCTCTTCTTTTTCCCTTGCTAGCTGCATGGAAAAATAAGAAATAAGGGAGCAACATAATTACCCATGGTGTCAGAGGCATCGGCGCCGCCGTAGAACGTGGCATTCGCCTTGAGCCATCCGGTCGGCGCCGGAGACGACGGACTGCTGGTAGTGGCGTCATCAGCGGCGGCCATGGTCAGCTCGCAGGCGACTGCAAGCGACAGGACTGCAAGAACTCGAGCTGGAGCCATACCAATCGCTCGGGTTTGTTTGTATGCCTTCAAACTGCACAAAACTAGAGTTGTGCCTGTGATGTTGACTGTGTTAGCCCACAGGATCACCGGTTCAGGTGAGTGAATCACTCATCAGTCTTACCGAGCACCCGTTAGTATTATCGAGCACCCACTAGCTAAGCCGACCACGAACTGTCTCCACACATTATGGCTCAAGGTTGAAAAGATGGAGAACAGAACATACACACACAGTACAAGACATCAGCGTTGGCCAAAGCCTTATATGGGAGATGGCAAATCTAAACTCTCTTTACTGAGTTGCTGTGGGAGTCTATTTATACAACTCTATCCATCTAGTCCTAGTACAGCGCACATGCTGTAACAGTAACTAGATAGCATACAAGGCTGACTCTGTGTCGGCCTCTGCATGTGACTACAGTGTTGTAGGTGAGCCGTGCGGCGCCTGCACCTGCAGCGGCTACAGAATTACAGCAGGGGTCCTTTTCGACATCGCCTTCTCTTACTGTGTTCACACAAAGAAAACGGTAGTTTATTCCAACAGACTGCTAGAAATGGTTTATTTGTTCTACTACTAGATAGTGTCTCGTGTCTACTAGATTGATTTTGTTGTGATGATTTGTGCGATAGTCTGGTGCATTTATATACACACGGCCTTACCCTTACCAATCACGAATTCACGACTGATTAGTAGTTACAAATAAATTAAGCGTATCAGTCGAATGAAGCAAGCCGGATATTACTATAACCTGCACATGGCCATGCATTGCTTACGGTGCAATCTGGACGGAGAGAGAAAAGTATTTGGCCGGTGCTTTCATTTCTTCGCCGTTTTTCTTCTTCAGAGTTCAGACTTAGGATCGTTGCTTGACTTCCATTCAAGGTGACGTGAACGGCCACGGCGGCTTCGCAGCACTTGCTTGCGTGTTCACCGTACGTACATTGTCTAAGAAAGGATGTCGTTGGTTTCTTCAATGGCACGGATGGTTATCCGGCCTGCACTGCACCTGGACAGCAGCATCAGTAGCGCCGGTCGGTGTGTAAATGAAGTTATAATGATTAACCGCCATCGTTTATTTGGACTTCCAAACTACGGCGGCAGGTAGGAAAAAATATATTATGAACTTCATCAGTTCGGATCTGGCCATCAGGATCTTTGTATGCCATGTGACCTGAGCATATATATGAACTCCAAACTTGATATGGGCTGTGATGTACTTCTCCGCTGCAATGTTCTTGGATGAAAGTTGGGCATTTAGTACACTATATGAGTATTGTACTGGGATGACCAATTAAGTTGATTTATCTAACTAGTGTAGTCAATGGAAGACTATCTAGTTAGGTTATCGACCCAAGAGGGAGATGATCCTGACATTTCTGCTCATGTTCCAATGCAGGAAAAGTGTTGGACTCAGAAGCGCAAATCGAGTTTTGCAACCACCGCGAACAGACGGTGTACACCTCCATCCAAGAGAGGCCATATGAGCACACCTGTGCTTATTATCCGAACCTTATACTTAAAACAGGTATGGATGAGGACTTTGAACATGCATGTCTTCAAATTAGCCATTGGTTGGAAAATTTTTGGTTCATAGATGAGAGGGGTCGTAAGCTTCTTACCAAATTTCTTTGCTCTTTGCTCTCTGTTCCTACTGGCATTACGTTCAGACTTTTCAGATAGGAATACTTTCTTACTTGAAAAGGATTGAGCAAATTACTTTGCTTTAATGGGAGATGCAATGTTAGTTTGCAAGACTACAGATGGGAGAGAGGGGAAGGACCAAGGTGGTGGTGTGGAGGCAATTGTCTAGTTTATGGCGTTCATCTAGCTAACAGTTAGTTGCATTTAGTTAGGAGAGCTAGCGGGTCATTTTGAGCTATGAGTTAGGATATTAGTTGGGTGTTTGGATATACTAGATCTATTTGCTGGACTTACTTTCGCGGCAAGCAAGCCTCATGTGAGATTTATGAAATGCAATCACAATTCCTTCATTTCAAACTACAGTTCACTTTAATTTTGTCTTAAGTCAAATTTCTTTCAACCTTCTACAAATTTATAAACATCTGCAATATCAAATACTCATGGAGTATGCTTTGATAGCGCCATTATTTGATCGAGAGTCACAAATATTTTCCACGAGACACTAGCACACACTATCATCACATCACATCCTATGTTGTGATTCGCCGCACTTAATTTTTACACCAATAAAAGGAGGGGGGGAGGGGAGAGAGAGATTAGCAATACTTCCACAGGACAAACTGTCAGTGTCAAATATGCTGATCACCGGTGTGTTCACAAACAACTTGATCATCAGGGGCTCGAGGGAACGCCAATCCACAACCTTGAATTGAGATGCCTTAGTTTGATTCCAAACCCAGCATCTCAGGCCTGTACCTTCTTTGGTGCTGAACAGAGTTACCCCAGAAGTAGATGACCAAGCAATCATTAGTAGGAACTTGATAAATGAAAAATATGTTTTAAAAAAAACATAAGATTTCTTATAGAAATTGCACATATGTGAAGGCAAATGCGATTTTGGATTTTTTTTTTTTAAAAAAACAATAGATCCCCAAAGTGTATGCTCAGTGCGCAACCATGCTTCTTCTTACTTGGGACGGCCTTTATGGTGAAAAAGCACACTGCTATTACAATGTAACATAGTGTCAAATTGAAGCCTTTCAAGTAATGCCATTTGCCATCCTGAAAAGATATACTAAGATCATCATACACCTCTTGCCCAAAAGAAAGATGTGAATTTAAAATAATATCAATTAGCTCCGCCTTTTCTCATAATTTTTTTAGCAGCTCGTGCAATTACCTGAAGTGTAAAAGCTGTTGTAAATACTGTCATAACCAATGATCCAGTCTCAACAAGGTTCAAGTCAAGATCCATAGGGATGCCATTGACCCAGGACACAATTAGAATAACAGGCACCTTGTCATGATAAGCAAACTCCTTATCAGCTGAAATCTAAATTTTGGCATGTACCAGTTAGGATAAAGGGCCATATCATCGACTAAGTGGCCCAATTTGATTCCCATCTTTTGGAGGAATAGATATATTTTACCTTATCATTGAGACATAAATTTTGAAGGAAGTTGAATAAAAAAAAACTCTGGAACTGTAAATTTGCTAGATTTTGCTAACCAGTTAAGGGCCATTTTGTTTCCTGACAAGATTTGAATTCCTAATCTGATCTGTTGTCCAAGGTTAACCTACTGAACAAGAAGAAAAAATTCTTAATTCTCACCACAAGCAGCAAAATTTGAATTGCTGAGCCAAGAGCAATTCCCAGGGTGATGTCCTACAGGAAATATAATTGTAGGGTTGTTTAACTCAGAAAACTTAAACAACAAAAATTTGTTAGGATACATCCTTACAATTTTGTTCTTAAAAGCAAATATTATAGCGCCTGCATGCTCTGCCGCATTTCCAACAACAGGAAGGAGGATAATGCTAATGAACCTGACTGGGATACCAAGTGCATCTGATGCTTCCTGGAAACGAAATATAGTGAAGCAGAAATAAAGCGGAAACAACTTAACAATGTTGATGTATATACCTCAATTGTAGTGATAACGTAATTAGAAAGCACAGCAATGACTACAGTCATCCCAATCAACCAGATCACTGTACTGGCAGATCCTATAACTGAATTGTTTGTAACTTCATCGTCACTGTTGCTGCTGCTGCTCTGTGAACTTCCCTGCAATTCAATTCTTGGACAAATCAGTGAACTGTGAGATGATGAGCCAATAGAATAATACCAATTCTTTTAAAATGGCAGAAAACTGCATCGATATCCGCCATATTCAAAACTTCAGAAAGTTTATGACCTATGTACCTATCTTATTTGCAATTTGACAAATCACCACATAACTAGAAAATTATCTCATACTAAAAGGAAAAGTTAGTGTGACCAACCATGCTAAAATCGGAGAGGAGATCATTGCTAGTAAATGACTGCTGAATCTGAGTCAAAATCATGACTACATAGTGCATATGAATTTCTAAAGTTCATTTGAGAATTCAAAACTTCACTATAAATTTATTTTTCCTATACTACAATATGAAATCAAGTTGTTCATAGTGCTAACTACAGCATATTAAAATCATAGTTATCTTAAAGAAAATTGGCCACTGGTCTCCACGTTCTTTGATACCACTCCCAGCATCCTTAGTAAAGAAAGCATTATACCTCTTGCACAAAAAATTGACGATGAGTTTTTAGCTGGAAGACGAGACCTCCAAAGTAGGCAATGAGCATTACGATTGCACATAATCTTGATAACCCCAGAGCTGAGCCTATGCTATCTCCAGTGCTTGCTGTGTACTTGGACAATAGAGGTAAGATGTGGCAGAGCACACCCAGCATCAGGAGGCCTATGCTTACATCTGCTTGTCTCTGTTAATGACCATAGAAGATTTTTGCATGTTATTTTTCTAAAACTGTATTTCGAAGTTCTACTGGTAATACAATGGTACTGTTTAATTGCATCCGTACCCTGTCCAGCGGACGCTCCTTGCCTGTATTAGCAAGGCCACCACAAAGGAGTGATGAACCAAGGACTAGGAGCAAATTAGATAATATGGAACCTAAAAGAGACCACTTTAGGATTTCCATCTTCTCTTTGTGCAGGGCAAACAGTGCAATAATTAGTTCAGGTACATTCCCACAAGTTGCGTTCAGAAGCCCGCCAGCTGTAATCAAAATTGTTCCAATTCACATAGAAGTGCCGAGTCAAAAAAAAAATGGTAAATGCAGTATTGAGATGAAGCAAATGCTTGAACACAAGAATACTGGGATTTCTAAAGCAGTTGTAAATGTGTTCCATTTACTTTTAAAAGCACTACCTGTCACTGTCAGTTCGCATTTACGCTAAAAAAAATTCAAAACAACGAACATATACTGAAGATGCACAACTCAGTATGGACATCAGGTGTTATTGGGGCACGTTTTTAAAGCTTATGAAGGTATGCTGTGGCAGTTGCTATCCTATTGAGCATGCTACTTTAAGAGTCATTCAGTTTTGAGCAGTCAATATCTTAGCAGAGGAAATGATAATTTATTATTGTCCCTAGTGTTTTCGTATTTCAGAGTGATGTTTTGGGGAGTGAAAATGCAGTAATAAAGAACCTAGCCACACATTTCTTCTATCCTTTTCTCAGTCACTAGCAATGCAGTCAATACACCGAAAGGAAGCCCAACTTTATTTTATCAGGTAAAAAAAAAAGTAAATTCTACTAAATATCGTAATGTAGTCTCTCATGTTTTATTTAACATATACTATGATGTGTACAAGAATATTTTAGTTGAAACTTTTGTTTTTCATAGTCTGTTAATCTGCACAAATTTCCTTCATATAATAAAGAGAGACAACATATAAAGATAGATACCTGTTGGTCCTGCTGTATCGGCAATATGCCTGCAGAAACAGACATCAGGCCAAAGATCAGAAACCTAGCAGTCAACTGTCAATTCATGAAAAAAAGAATACAGAAACACAAAAGGAGTTGAGTGATTACTCGCTTAGGAAGCTCACACGTTCTGCGAGAGGAGCAAGGCCTATCAAGCTGAAAACGAACACCCATGCCTGCTAACACAAAGTGTCACTACCGTCGCCGCAAAGCCAAGAACATTCAACAAGTTAAAGAGAAATATTAAATGAAAATAAAATAACCAGGGATTCAACTATGCTATGGAAGGTGCACATTTTTTCCACAGTAATTGCAATATAGGACGAGCTATGCTTCCCTCTCAGCTTTTCAATTCTGATCTCAAAACTACTAAAATCCTAGCAGAATTAATTAACCATGCAAACAGGCCAGGTCAATAGGTCATACCCAAAACATGCACGAAACCTATGCCATCCGCTGTAGTAAGTGCAGTTGATAATCGCCCTTGGCTTATAAGCCGTATTTTTTCAGCCAACGAACATTATTTTTCTCTCACAACAAATCAGCCAACAATACTTTCAGCTATAGCTTATCAGCCAAACATGGCAAATGCTACCGTGAGGGCGCCCATCCTGGCTTGTCCACGCGCCATTTTGGGCGTGCGCGGCGATCGGCCCAACATCAATGTGCGGCCACCGCTACCCAACTCGCCTCACTCGCTCACTCCTGCATCTACTCACCCAGTCCCTCGCTTCCTCCTCCATTCCGTGGCTCGCGCCCCGTGCGCTAACCGAACCGAAAAAACCGGAACCGAAACCGAAAGAACCAGAACCAAAAAATTCGGTTCCAAATTTTGAGGAACCGAAATAACCGAGAAAATTTCGGTTCCTCTCGGATAACCGAATTTCCCGAAAGAACCGAAATTCATGAATTGTACTTCACTTACTAATATTTTGTAAGACAATGTTTGATTTTTGTGTGACGTCCCATACTGAATTGCTATGTATTTGTGTTACTATATTGCTATTGTTCCCTTATCAATTATTATTATCTAAATTAGAGGTGGTGTTGCCTAAATTTGCTTTAAAACCTGCATATTTTGTTGTTGTATTAACCTTTGCTGAAAAAATTCAGTTAATTCGGTTAGAAGCGGAATCGAACCGAAATAACCGAGAACCAAAATGCTCGGTTCCTAAATTTTTTTGGAACTGATCGGTTCCCATTTTGTAGGAACCGAATTTCATCAATAACCGAGGGAACCGAACCAAAACCTAACCGAGAACCGAACGCCCACCACGACCATGGACGGGCCATGGCGCCTCCATGGTAGTACCAAATAGGCGATGGCGCGCCCCCCCCTTACTTCCTTCCTTGGCGTCCTCCTCCCCACCCCACTTTTCGGCGTGGAAGCGGTAGCCACACATCAGTGACAACTGCGCCGCGGGCCTCCGAGGCTCTCGAGCTCCATGCAGAGGCAGTGCCTTAGCCAGATCCTCGCCGTTCCTCGCGCCCGCGTCAACCACTACCACCGGTATCGCGACGAGCACCACGGAGTTGAGGCTGCGAGGCGAAGGCACCCCCGCGCCGTCTCTGTCGCCGTCATGGCGGTCCTCGTCGCCACCACTGGCGATGGCCAAGCTCCGGAGCAGCCGCCGCTAAGCACCACCGCTGCCCCCGGTGGCCTGAATCGACCGGCGCAGCCTTCCCCTCCCCTATGTTGCATATATATGTTTCAGGTATTTCAGATGTATGTTGCATTTGTTTCATATGGATGTTGCTAAAGTAGATCGGGATGTTGCACATGTTGCAATTGTTTTAGAGGCATGTTGCAAGCGTATGTTTCGAGTGTTTCAGATGTTTCAGAGGTATGTTTCATCTGTGTTTTCTGAACGCATGTTGCAAGTGTGTCATGTTAGAGACTGCGGGACTATGTTTCAGTCCAATGGGATTGTAGAGAGAAAGAACCGCACTCTAACTGATTTGGTTAATGTCATGTTAGAGACTGCAGGACTATCTAAGGAATAGTGGGGTGAGGCTATATTGATAGCGTGTCATATCCTGAATAGAGTGCCCACAAAGAACAAAGAAATTACATCATTTGAGGAATGTGAGAAGAACAGATTAAATCTCTCTTACCTACAAACTTGGGGTTGTTTGGCAAAGGTGAATATGCCAATAAACAAAAAACGAAAGCTTGGACCAAAGACTGTTGATTGTGTTTTTCTTGATTATGCTATTCACAACGTGGGTTATAGATTTTTAATTATAAATTCTAGTGTTCCTGAGATGGCTGTTGATACAATCATGGAATCTAGAGACGCTACATTTTTTTTAGAATGAATTTCCTATAAAAAATGCACCTAGCACGACTGGTCATGAATTTATAATTTTCCATGAGCATAAAAATTTTACTCCGATAGAACAAATTGAGGAACCCTATATGCAAAATCCTGAGGAGGATAACACTATAGTCACTAGAAAAAGTAAGAGACAGAGAACTGCAAAGTCTTTTGGTGATTACTATATTGTGTACCTTGTGGATGACACACCAATGACCATTGAAGATGCATATTCCTCTCCTGATGCTGACTTATGGAAGTAAGCAGTACGGAGTGAGATGGATTCTATTATGTCTAATGGAACTTGGGAAATAGTTGATCGTCCTTATGGGTGCAAGCCTATAAGGTGCAAATGGGTGTTCAAGAAAAAGCTTAGGCCTGATGGTACTATCAAGAGGTACAAGACAAGACTTGTGGCCAAGGGTTATACTCAAAAGGATTGTGAGGATTTCTTTGATACTTATTCACCGGTTGCCTGATTGACTATAATTCGAGTTTTGCTTTCCCTGACAGCCTCTTATGGTCTTATCGTTCATCAAATGTACGTTAAGACAACTTTCCTAAATGGAGAGTTAGAGGAGGAGATCTATATGGATCAGCCGGATGGGTTTGTAGCAAATGGTCAAGAAGGCAAGGTGTGTAAGTTATTAAAGTCATTATATGGCCTAAAACAAGCTCCTAAAGCAGTGGCATGAGAAGTTCGACAGAACTCTAACATCTACTGGCTTTGTTGTGAATGAAGCTGACAAATGTGTGTACTATCGGTATGGTGGGGGTGGAGTTATTTTGTGCTTATATGTTGATGACATACTGATATTTGGATCCAGCCTCAAAGTGATTGAGGAGGTGAAGAAATTTTTATCTAATAATTTTGAAATGAAAGATTTGGGAGATGCTGATGTTATTCTTAATATCAAGCTTCTGAGAGAAGGTGATGGTGGGGTAACTTTGTTACAATCCCACTATGTGGAAAAGGTACTGAGTCGCTTTGTGTTTAGTGACTGTTAACCTGCTCCTACACCTTATGACCCTAGTGTGCTATTGAGGAAAAATCAGAGAATAGCAAGGGATCAATTGAGATATTCCCAAATCATTGGCTCGCTCATGTATCTTGCTAGTGCAACAAGGCCTGACATCTCATTTGTTGTGTGCAAGCTAAGTCGGTTTGTGTCAAACCCGGGAGATGATCACTACGTACTCTTGAGAGAGTGATGCGCTATCTAAAATGCACTATGAGCTATGGTATTCATTATACCGGACACCCGAAGGTGCTGAAAGGCTATTGTGATGCCAACTAGATCTCTAATGTTGATGAGCTTTATGTCACAAGTGGATATGTGTTTTCGCTTGGAGGTGGTGCTGTTTCCTAGAAGTCTTGCAAGCAGACTATCTTAACAAAGTCTACAATGGAAGCAGAACTCACAGCATTAGACACCGCTGGCTCTGAGGCCGAGTGTCTTCATGATCTCCTTATGGATTTACCGGTTGTTGAAAAACCCATACCGGCTATTTTTATGAACTACGATAACCAGACTATGATTACGAAGGTTAACAGTTCTAAGGATAACATGAAGTCCACAAGACATGTTAAGGGACGACTAAAATCTGTCAGAAATTTGAGAAACTCTGGAGTAATATCATTGGACTATGTTCACATGTCTAACAATCTGGCAGAACAATTCACTAAGGGTCTGTCACGCAATGTGATAGAAAGTGCATCGAGAGAGATGGGTTTGAGACCCACATGAAATTTACTATAGTGGTAACCTGTTTTATGTGATCGAAGATCCCATGAAGTAGGATGGTGAAACAAGCTAGTAGTAAATTGTGAGGAAAGATCATTAGTAAGACTCATTTCTAATGCATATCTTTTTTTTCTGTAAGGTAGGTTGGTTTTTACCTTAATGTGTTCCAATTGGCTTGCTAAAGCAAAGATATTGTCCTACAAAACATCTTTTGAGGAACACACCTATATGAGTCTGACTACTGATCACAGTCTATGAGATTTGGGCGATCTCTAAATACTCATGAAAGGCACTGGAGTATGACTTATATGCTTCAAATAGAGGGGATGTCTTTTGCAGCCTAGTATCAGCTAAGGACTTTAGTGACATTCACCTCACACAAAACTGTCAATTCAAGACTTAGTCCATTGTTCAGTTATGACTGAATGAAACTATTGCTCTAGATGGATGTTCAACTTAACAGTCTCCATCAAAACACTAGTATATAAAACAAATGTGGTTTTAAGACTACTTTGTTACAAACCCTAGAGTTTGGTGGGGATTGTTGGATATATTATGGGCTTTGTCCATATAATATTTAATAAATCAAATAAAACTCTATGCTCTGTAACATCAAGCGTTGTATGGTTTAATACCGTATGGGATTTTGACTGAACATTGACTCAGCTTATTTGGTTGGAAATTATCCATCTTAATTGAGAAGCTGAGAAAAGGACATAGGAGTGCCACACGCGCGCACGCCTCCGCCGTGGGCCAGGACGAGGCCATGGGCGGGCGAGCGGACCGGTGGGCATGGCCAGGTTTTGCCACTTAATTCACATAATTATGGGAGTTTCTCTCTTTATGGTGGAGGCAAGTTGATTGCGCCAGTTACCGTCTCTTCGTGTCTCCGTCTCCTGAGTTCCTCAGTTGGCTTTCTCCCTCCCCGCCGTAGGCATAAAAGTAGAAGTCCTCTGTCAGTTCAATCTTCCCTTTGCTTCTGAGAGACCACATCTCAGCCGCCCTTTGGCTTTCCCCGTCCCGTATCTCTGCGCGCACGGAGCAACAGGAGAGCAGGTGCCTCCGGAACCCTCGTCCGCCTGCGAACCTTGCACGGGGTGTGCGGCGATTAGG